GCTCCTGCCAGCCCTCGCACGTGCTGTGCCTTATCTAGCGTGATCAAAACACTGCCTGCTTTGAACGGAGCAGCTCCCGCAGCAGTGCCGCTTTGCCCGGATCAGGGAGCCGGGGTTGTGATCCCTGGATTCCTTAGTCAGTCGTGCCATTTACTTTCCCGGCTCGGTGCGACGCTGAGTATCCATGTGATTTAGTTTACCGTTCTTCGCTGTGGACACGGTGATCGGAGGGAGTGCTCAAAGCCTGATATATTGAGGGGAAAAGAAATGGAATCTAAACTTTATTCAGGGGCCGGAGCTGTAAGCAAACTGACCTGCCCTTAGTCATAGCAGTCCCCTCGCTGCAGCAGGGCCCGTTTGGGCACCGCGGAGATGGACAATGTGTTTTGTGGCACCTCTTGGTGATTGTGCCCACTGACTGCCTGCATTAGGGCTTGGATCTTCGCTTGCTATTTACATTCCTTTCCAGTTGATAATCCAGTTTGACTGCGCCGTAAATGCCAAGGCAGAAATGCTGTTTGATAGAATTTGTGCTGAAAACCGGCACGAGCCCAAAGGGGAGGCAAAGCCACGGACAAGTTCAAGCTGGCAAAGGAGACTGCACCAGAACGAGAGCCAGGACCCCGCGGAGCAGAAAGGATTCGCCGCTGAGCATCGCGTCCGCCCTTCCTCTTAACAGTGGTTCGACCAACGGGAGAAATGAGCACCGAGCAGCCTCCCCGTTTTTGTTTTTGCTCCAGGTATAAGCATTAGGKTTCGTGTCGCGTTTTGCTGTTATACCTGTGCTGGTGGCTGGTGAAGAAGGTTGGGCTTTGGTTTATGGGAGACACGTCACGCGTGCCACCACAGCAGCAGGTACTTGCACGGGGCGTGCAGGTTGCTGCCGAGGAAACTGGAGTTTTCTACCATGGCACCTGCAGCAATAACAGGAACGTGAATGATGAGCAAGGGCTCTGGAGGGCTGCACATGCCTCCCTCCAAACAAACCGAAAATAACATCACAAAGGACCTAGAGGCCTGAGTTTAGGCCAAGGAGTTTGGCCTCCGAATGTGACAGACTTGGATGGGACATCATGAGTTCATAACCCTGGAGTATGAAGTCAGAGCACCTGGTTCCTCATTAGCTTTGTCCAACACAGCTGGTTTCGTAGTTGTTTTTTTTTTCCTCCAACAAATTTACAAAACTTTGTGCTTGGAAATACCGAAAGTCAGTTAGTCTGCCTTCCGTGGGACAGCAGCTGGGCAATGAGAGCTAGAACCTGCCTAAGTGACTTGGGTGTCTGCGCTAACTTGAATGTTTTGGTRCAAATCTTCAGTCGCCAAGAACCCCCAGGTGTGTCAGCGTTCACGCTGGACCTGTGGGAAATGGCTATGGAGGAGCTGCCAGTGATCCACATATCTTGTCCCGCAGGCAGTTTTCCAGGTAGTTTTCTCTGTGAAATCTCGAGAGTTTTTGTCTTAACACAAAGATAGAGCCGTGGGGCTGGCGGGAATCCGCGTGCAGGCCTCGGCCTCGTTGCGCCCCGTTCCTGGCACGGTTTGGAGGAGGCCCGAGGGCTGTGTGAGCGCCTCGCTGCCCTCGCGGGGCCGGGCATCCGTCCCCGTAGGCATCGCCCCCTTCTCCCCCGCGCGCTGCACGGGATCTTTGACCTTTGGTTGCTGGCGGGCTGCCCGCCCYGTGTTTATAGGGCTGGTAAACACCGACTCGTGCAGGAGGAGTTCCCAGCGGGAACAGCTATTTCCGGCGTTCCTTAGCGGATTTGTGCTGGGAGAGAGCGGCCCGCGCGCGAGGCAGGACGCTGGCCGGCGCGGCCAGCCAAACCCCGCCGGCGTGCCCGCCGTGGGGCCTGGTTTCGCTCTCACACCCGCTCTCCTCTCTGTGCCCGTGCGGTTACGTAACGGCCGAGGCCGCGAGCGAGAAGCGCGAGGTTAAAAACGGGAGAAGGAAGGAAGGAGCGGAGGAGCCATATGGCAAATAGCAGGAGGCCCTGCCAGGCCACCTTAGGCTCGTGACAACATGCCCTACATTTAACCTCCGCTCAGGAACTGATTAACGCCACAGATGGAGGCGAGCGAGCGCACGCGTTCCRAGCCATGGCCCGCCTTGGCACCAGCTGCCCGGCCGCCTTCTGCGCCGGCATCGAGGAGGGAGCGACCCACCACGTGCACATTGCTCGTGGTGAAGGTCCTATGGCTGCAGTGGATGGTCTTGGAGAACTGTAATTAGCTGCTCCCATGGAGGACCCAGCTAACACCTTGGCGTAGAGGAGCTGTTCTTCATGCAATGACTTCTGTGGTGGCTCTTCTCAGGGAACTTCTTGGGGAACTTCTTGTGTTGCAGTGATTCTTCTCAGGGAAGCTGTCCCGCAGGTGGACTTCCCTTTGGCACGTAGTGTTACCTCTGAGCGAGCGCATTCTTGGCATGGATTTGTCCCGAGGGATATTCCGAAATAGCCGCGTGCAGTTTTCTAAGCCTGCAATCCATTCAGAACCCAGAATTAGGACTCGGTCTTGGAAGCGGAAGCCTTGGCAGGGCTCGAGGAGTCTGGCATCCTCCCCACACCGGGATACCCCTGAGAAGCTAAACTGAATGTGCTGGGGGCCTGGCACRTGAGAGGGGCTCCCACTCTACAGCTATATATATGTGCGTGTGTGTATGCATGTGTGTGTACATACATATATATATAATCCATATATAAAGGTACCCCGTGGAACCGAGTTTCCTTCCCCTCCCGCACACGCGGAGCTCGCAGGCCCTGTGCAGCCCCTGGGAATATTGGTTTTTATTACCTGGTGGGGAATTTGGGGTTTTATTACCTGAGGGGAAACCACCGTGAGAGAATAAAAGCAAAGCTGTGATCCTCCTTGCGGGCACGGAGCGGGGAGTGAGACGAGCACAAATTGGGTGTGGGTGTGCATGTGTGCGTGTAGTTGCAGGAGAGGGGGGAGGCCCCTTGATTTTCAGTAATAACAATTAATTATCTGCTGTGCTGCGTAAGCAGCCCCCAGGATAAGCAGAGCGCACCGGTTCTGTGCGTGTTAGAGGTTCACGCACGTGTAGAGGCCTCGGGGAACGGCCGGGTGGAGGACGAGCCGCGATTCCAGGTCCTACCCAGGCCTGGCTTTGCTAAGTACGAGCGAGATCTTGTCTTCCCGAGCCCCGGTCCGCGGACAGGACCTCGCTCCGTAGCTCCACAGGTCCCGTAGCAGCACGGGGTTATTTCAAGTACCCTGTGTGTGTTTTATGGGTGTTTAACACTCCACCGTGTAAACAGACTTGTGGGTTTTGAACCACTGCTTCTACCGTGGCCTTGCTGCGGCTCCCTCTAAGAGGAAGACTCTTCCAGGACAAGTGCTTTTTCTTCCTAATAGCTCAATGTTATTTGGCTGCCAGCGGCGAGCTGCGCATGTAGCCCACGTTGTTGTGGGCACGTGGGGAAGGATGTGGGCGCATCCTGCACGGACAGGCAGTTGTGCCTCGTCCGGGGCTCGTTTGCAGGGAGCAGCAGCGGCTCCATCCCCGCGCGCCCGGCAGGCCTGGCGGGAGGGTCGGCCCTGGGGACTGTGTCTGGGGGGTGGTCAGCAGCGCCGGGGGCTCCTCCTTGGAGTTAACATGGATAACAGCGGCGCGCCAGGGTTAGATCCATGGAGCTGACCCGGCTAACGGCGGCGCTCCGGTCTCAGCCTGTGCCACTGGCTGGAGCAAGCCCTTCTCCCCCCGCCCCGTCTCTGCTGGGCTCGTAGGGGAAGGGGGACACGTTTCCTCAAGAGCCCCTCGTTGTGGTGCCTCCTCTCCGAGGGAGAAACGCGAAACGATTCTCTGCAAAACGTTTCGAGTATCCCGGGATGCGGGGAGTCTGCAAAATATTAATGTTCTGCCTGGCTGGAGCAAACACTGTGTTCCCGTGAGTCACGGATGTCAGGTTTGTTTAATCTTAATAAATCTGTGCCACAATCAACTTTTAAACAGGAAGAAGGATGGAGGGATGGAGAAAGGGCTGTACTGGGGGGAGAGAGATTCCTGGCTGGAACGTGGGCTCCTGCTTCCCCAGAGAGTCCTGTTTTCCCACGAACCCTCAGGCGAGGGAACGTGGAGCCCTGCATTTGGGAAACACCTCAGGGACCCATGCTGTGCTTTATGATAGATGGGCTTTCCAAGTGCCAGCCTTAAGAGAACTAGTTTCCCAGTGCGTGTCTGTGTTTGCAGGAGGCCTGGGGAGGCCTGGCCCRCAGCTCCCCTTGGCAGGCAGGAATAGCGCCCGCTCCAGGGGGCTGCCAGGCCCCAGGTCCTGCCGAGGGAGCTTCGAAAGCTCYGAAAGGAGCGTGAGCTGCTGCCTCAGAAATGCGAGCGATGCCGCCGCTTTCTAGCAAGCGGGGCTGGGGAGAGATGGATCCGAGASGGGGGCAAGAGCAGCGGGATGGGACGGGATGGATGTGGCATTGAATGGAGAGCTCGGCTCAGCCTCGCGGAGCTGCTGGGGGTTCTTGGTGCATCAGGCCCCAGGCTGGCTGTGGGAGCCGCGGCGCTGGCGCTGGGCAGGAGCCCGGGCTTGGCCTGAGCAGAGGTTCAGCCCGCGTGTGGCCCGGGCAAAGCGTCGTCCCCGGGAGCTGTCATTTCAGCCGCGCTCCTTGTCGCTGCTGGAATCTAGCAGCCCTGTCCCCGGCGCCCGTGTAAGGCGAGCCGGCGCTCRGCCTAAATTTAGCGCGGTCGGAAGCGGAGCGTCTCGCAGCGCCGCGTCCTGCCGTGCCGGGGCCCTTCCCTCCGCTTCTGGGCCAGAGGCTGGGATGTGGGGCTTGTCCTGCCTTCTGCAGGGTGCTTCCCAAGGCACCAATGACCCTGTGCCGGCAGCGCCCGCGTGCGTGGGGACGCGGCTGGGACGGAGCCCTCGTGTGGGGCCACGCCGTGGGTCTGGGTAGCCCCACACACCACCACGCTGGTCCCTTGCTTGCTCCCTCCCACCTTAACCGCATCTTCTCCCTCTCGCCCTTCTCCCTCACAGTTCCACCAAGTGAGAAGAGTGATGACCATCCTTTTCCTTACTATGGTTATCTCATACTTCGGTTGCATGAAGGCTGCCCCGATGAAGGAAGCGAGCGTCCGAGGACAAGGCGGCTTGGCCTACCCGGCCCTGCGGACCCACGGCACCCTGGAGGGCCTCAACGGGCCGAGCGCCGCGGCGAGAGCGCTGCCCTCGCTGGCGGACACCTTCGAGCACGTCCTCGAGGAGCTCCTGGACGAGGAGCAGGAGCTGCAGCCCCGCGAGGAGCGCAAGGACGCGGACCTGTACACGTCGCGCGTCATGCTGAGCAGTCAAGTGCCTTTGGAACCCCCCCTGCTCTTCCTGCTCGAGGAGTACAAAAACTACCTGGATGCCGCCAACATGTCCATGCGCGTGCGGCGCCACTCGGACCCGGCGCGGCGCGGCGAGCTCAGCGTGTGCGACAGCACCAGCGAGTGGGTGACGGCGGCCGAGAAAAAGACCGCGGTGGACATGTCCGGCGCGACCGTGACCGTCCTGGAGAAGGTGCCGGTGCCCAAAGGCCAACTGAAGCAATACTTCTACGAGACCAAATGCAACCCCAAGGGGTACACGAAAGAGGGCTGCAGGGGCATAGACAAGAGGCACTGGAACTCCCAGTGCCGAACTACGCAGTCTTACGTGCGAGCTCTCACCATGGATAACAAAAAGAGAGTTGGCTGGCGCTTTATAAGGATAGACACTTCCTGCGTATGTACATTAACCATTAAGAGGGGAAGATAGTGGGCTCGCGGCGTAGAGATTATATGGAGACAAAAATATCTATTTGTATATATACATAACAGGGTAAATTATTCAGTTAAAAAAAATGATAATTTTATGGACTGCATGTATAACTGAAGTTTATACAGTACAGTGGTTCCACGATCTATTTATTGAACATATCCATGACCTGAAGGGGAACAAAAGTCATTTGCGCACAACTTTAAAAAACAAAACAAAACAAAACAAAAAAAAAAAGAGAAAAAAAAAAACACAAAAGTCTGCATTACATTCCTCGATAACGTTGTGGTTTGTCGCCGTTGCCAAGAATTGAAAGTATAAAAAAAATGAAAAAAAATAAATAAAATTGCATGCTGCTTCAATTGTGAATTGATGATAAACTGTCCTCTTTCAGAAAAAAAATTGAACCAAAACATTCCGTTTACATTTTAGACAGTAAGTATCTTTATTCCTGTTAGTATTATATCTGTTTACTGCTTTTAACTTCTTCTGATAGCGTTGGAATTAAAACAATGTCAAGGTGCTGTTGTCATAGTTTTACTGTTTCTCTTTTGCTTTTAAACTCCCATGAGGTTGAAAACAAAAAAAAAAAAAAAAAAAAAAAATCCTTACCTTATACGTTCTGGATTAAAAAAAAAATGTTTTTTGTATGTTGTGAAGGTGTTTGCGATAGCAATCCAACTACTGACAAAAAAAATGATAATAAAAAAAAAAAGAGGCAACTGAAAAAAGAATGGTGATGTTCCACTTCCCAGTGCAGGCTTAAAGACGGCGCTTCCTTAACCGACTTGCTTCTCCTTGTTGTTGTTTGGGTGTCCCACGTGCTGTCCCTGCCCGGCTCTGCCCCGCGCCCCGTGGGTCGCCACGTCCCCCCTGGCGCCCCGCGGCCCTCGCAGGCGTCACAGCCCCGGCCGGGCACACGCAGCCGCAGAGCGGGGCGGCCGGGCGCCCGCGGCGGCCCCGAGCACGGGAAGCGCCCGTGACGGAACGGAGCGGAGCGGGCACCGGGCAGGAGCAGCGGCCCGGCGGCCGCCGGCAGCGCCGCGCTGCTCCGGGCGGGAGCCGAGCGGGCAGCGAGCGCCCGGCTCCAGGCTGGACTGGGCAGGACGCGCCTAGCACCGAGCTGAGGGGAGCTTCAGGAGAAACCCGGCCTGCTGCTGGAGGCGCCTGCAACGCCAGCGAGTGATTTCCCGGGCTCYGGGCCGAGGCTGGGCTTTGCTAGGAAAGCCGTCGACGTCAAGGCAGCCCGGCGGCCAAGTGGAAGCTCCTGCACCAGCCGCCCGCTCCTGGATTGTGCTYGAGGAGGATCCCGGTGGGTTCGTACCGCCCTGCAGGGCCCCGTCAAGAGGAGGCCTCCGGAGGGCATTGCTGCCCGCCCCGCAGGCGTCCCGGCTCCCACGCAGGCATCGGGAATCACGGAAATCCATGAGGAAGCATCGTGGAATCGCAACCGGGCTTGTCTTCGGGCAAACAGCGGGCGGAGCGGAGGGTTTCCCTTCGCCTCAGCCACTAGTTCCGCTCGTGTTTGATCCCTCGCCTCGCCCGGGAACCGCTCTGGCCAGCGTCGAGAGAGCCCGACCGCCCCAGCCGCTGCAGGGAGGACGTGGGGAACCGCTGCCGACGAGCGGAGCTACGCTGCGGCCTTGAAAACAGGAAGCCTTCACCAAACGCATCGACCAGTTCCGTGGCAGTTRTGTTTGATGAAGCCTCTCCTCAAACTGGGAGCTGGTTGCCTAGGAAAGGGCAGGGAGGATGCTCCGGAGGGAATAGCAAACCCCTCGCTCACGTAGCCTGGCCGGAGACATGAGGGCTGGAACAGCAACGTGAGTTAGCAGCAGGAATAAAACAATTCCCGGTTGGCGAGATGAATTTCTGGAAGCGTTGAAGCTTCCTGATCTTCTGGAGTTAATTATGGATATCTCCTTAACGTAGAATTCCTCACCTGGAATGAGCRAGGGCGACGCTGCTCCAGCGCTAAGGCAGGCGAAGGGTAGGACCAGGTTGGCTGCTGGACTTTCTAGATGAGCAGTTGGAAAAGATTGGGCTCCAAGCAGGGATGTTCCCGGGCTGCCAAGACCTTCCCATGGGAAATGCACCGGGACTGGGGCTGGAGCGACGCTTCCCGCCTCGGACATCCCTAAGGACGGCGCCGCGCTCGGGCCACGGCCTGCGAATGTCACCTCACGTCTGTGGCCTTGCTCTCTCCTTTTCACCCTGTGTAACATACCTATTTATTGTATATTTATATAATTTTATGATGGTTTTTTTTTTTGCGAGGGGGGGAGCTGAAATCGGCATTAAAACTTAAAAGCAACCGCGTCGTATTGTAAATATAATTAAGCTATATTTAAGTGTACTAATTAACATAATATATGTTTAACTATAGAGTTTTTTATGTTTTTAAATATATTTTCAAATATAAATATATATATATAAATCTCGGGGTTTTTTGGGGGACCATGTGACTCTTTTCTCTAATTGTAAACCAAACGAGTTTTACTATAAAGATGTGTGCTCTTTGTTTTAACCCCGTTTTGATTTTAGTAGTGACATCTCGCGGGGGGCGCCTGGTTCACGGCTGGGCAGTCAGTGCTGGGAGGGCACGGCGGGGACCAAAATTTCCTTCCCACAAAACTTGGGGATACTTTACAGAATTATGGATTTCCATTTAATTCTAGCCTGCAAGTCTTCGCAAAACTAAAAAAAAAAAAAAAAAAAGAATAACATATATATTTATGCATATATATATGGTTTTATTCAGCTATAAAGCAATGAGAGGAATGGGAGCATGGAGGGGAGGGTTACTAATGTTAATAAATAATGCATAGATGAGACATAAATTCAATAGCTACAGGCCAGTCATGTACCTGATTTTTAAAGGGTGTCACGGATATTTGTACCCACTACCCCGAGCTTATTTATGACCCTGTGGAGAGCCTGGAGTAAAATTCCTTGGATTTAACATATCGTTAGCATTTCTGAAGGGAGCCGCTCTGTTATAACCACCGAGCCTTTGGATATCGAGTTATCCCTCCGTCCCGGAGCGATCAATAAATCTTTGTGATGAATAGAGACCGTTCCAACAAAGGGGGACTAAAAGCCCAAACCCTTTTGTTTAAGCGTATKCCACGGCTGCAGATTTCCCCGGGGAGCGGCGCAGGCCCCGGGAAATTCGGCTCCCGCAGGCGATCCGTCATCCCTGTCAAACCCACGTGCGCGCCCGTTGCGCACTCGGGAAAAAACAGCCTTTTTAAGGCATCATTTCCCCAAAACCGAGCCGGCGCGAGCAGCAATAAAACCTGATGCCCCATTCCCTTCCCTCCTCCAGCGACAACTATTGGGAAAGATGGATTTGGTCCCTTCAGCTTTATTTGGCTGTTAAATATACGGCCCCTYAGCAACAAAGCAGGCACTCTCAAAATACAGGTGTGATAGAGGGGAGGATGCGGAAGGAAACGCTCCRCGTGCCGGAGCTCTGGGAATTCCAGCATCGTAACCGTGATCCATCTGTGGAAAAATGGCAAATCCCTCCCTGGCGCTTATCCCTCGTAGCAGGAATAAGGGCACACAGCTGGGGCTTTAAATTACTCGGCAAGCAGGAAGGGATGTGGGGACAGAGCGTAGGGGCAGTGAGGGGGCACGGACATTCGCTCCGGTCTGTCCCAGGTGGGCTCCATCTCCTGCTTCCCAGGCTCCTCCTCAGACTGTTCTCCTTGGGAAGGAGAACAGCAGGAGGATGAGGAGTGAATGAGTGAAGGCATCTGTGTGGATTAAATACCAGGARGCCCGCATGGAGGGGCTGAGGCAATCTGGGGGATTAGGAAGGGTCTCCAGGTGGGTGGTCTAGGGAGGAGAGGGGTCTGGAGCAGGATAAGGGGTCTTTTTGCCTCTCCTGGTGCAATTGTGTTTTCCCCCTGCTCCTGCTTGGGGTCGATGAGGAGGGAAGTGCTGGGACTTGGGCTGCGGGCTTCTCRGAGCCCTTGGGAAGAGGCAGCCCGGGGATCCCTTGGTGCATCCAGCTGCAGAACGGGAGCCACGTGGGACAGCGGCGGCCTCCGAAGGGCMCCGCTCATGGAGCGTGTTGGGTAAGCTCTGCCGGGAAACACGGGAATTGCCAAGGGGAGCTCACGTACCTGGACCTGCTCTTCTCCCTTCCTGGGTTATATCCGCTGTCATAACCGCTCCTGCAGCTCCCAAATCCCGCTCCGGGCCCCCCATGAGCACAACCTGCAACGGGGCCGAGCTCCTTGGGGTGCCCGGAGGAGAAGGGAGCCCCGTGCGCTCCGGGTGGGAGCTGCCCGGGTCTGGCCCTCAAACAGCATGGGTTCTCCAGGGAGAAGATCCGGCCTCCCCTCCTCACCCGGGGCTGTCTGTAGGGGCCAGCTCCGCGCACAGCGGTGCCAACAGAAACTTATGACTTAATGCATTMATTCCGGCCATCCCAAACAGCCGTGGGTGACAGATCTGGCCCAGACCCCCACTTGGTTAAAGCAACACGCTGGGATTTGACTAAGCCTTAACGCGGCCGGGAGAAGGATTCCTCTTCCCTGCTGTCGGCTCCGCTGCTGTTTGCGTGGAGACTCCGCCGGCCTCCGCAATCCTCTACACAGCAAAAGGCTCCGGGGTTCGGATGTGGCAGCACAGCCTTCCAAGAGGAAGGGGGGATTTAGACCCCCTTGGACAAGGGGAAATGTCCCAATTCATCCTATTGACCCCTTCTACTGCCTCCTCCAGGAACACTGGAGATCTGCAGAGTCCAGCAGTGCTTCCTGCACTGCTCTTCTCCAAGAAGAGCCCCAAAGCGTCTCCTTAAATTAATATATATATATATCTACAAAGATTTCAGCATGTCATGGCACTAGATTCTATCTTTTCTGAAAATACGTATTAGAAAATATTTTTTCTTCGATTATATAAAAAAAAAGCATATCTGCAAAATAAATATTTTGCAACGTGCGTATCTGGCCCTACGTTAAGCAGCAGGAATGGAGCAGCCTGTGTGAGTCACTGGTGCTCATAGATGCTGTACCGACCGTCAAGGGCTCATCAGAAAACACGCACCAGGCCTAAACTGGGAATACCCCTCCCACCCGGGGAGTATTTAAGGGATGTTCAAAATAAAACCCCCTTCGGCGAGGATGAATCCCTGTCACAGGCTCTTGGAGCACATCCGAGGGCTGCACGGAAGGAAAATGTGGGCTCCAGACGTCGCTTTGGGCCTGGCCAGCAACTGCTGCAGCGTCTCCCAGTGAGGTCCCTTCATCCGGCGCCGGGCACGGAAGCTTTCCCGTGCCGAGGGCTGGGAGGGATTCGCCTCTCCCCGTGCTTTCTGCTCTCGTTTCCTGCAGATATTTGGCCCTAGTTGGGAGCCAGACATATAGGTACCAGCAGGGAAAGAAGGGGAAATGTGCACTTAGGGTGGGCCGAACATCTGAGCCGCAGGAGCTGGGAATCGGGGCTGGGAACAAATTATCCGCCAGGAAAAACTGCGTAAGGAACGAGCCCGTGCTGC